GCTGGTCTGCTGCCCCTCACTGGCTGGAGACGCTTGGGCAAGTTACTCAGCCTCTCTGAGCCTCTATTTTCTTATCAGTAAAATGGGGATGACAATTCCTTCCTCAGGAGACTATTTTAAACACTAAACAAGCATGCAAAACTCTGAGCACAATCCTTGTCACATATTGGTAATTATCATAATGTCCATTATTCCAGATTTTCCTCTTTGGTGAACTCCTAAAGGACTCCCACAATGAATTAGAAATTCCACCCAAAGATGGGCTCTGACCGCTTCCTCAGGGCAGCACTAGAGCCAAAGTGGGCATCTTGGTCACCACAAACAGTGAGGTGGAGAGGGGTCTACTCAGAACCCTGGCTCAGACAGGTGCCACTCCAGCCAACCCCACCCCACCGTCCCTGGAGCTCTCCAGGTCAGACATGCCATGTGTCCATGACACCCCCTCTGGGGTAGGGAGGGTGCTGAGCTGAGGCACAATTCCCAGGAGGCTTTGAGGTCCTTGGAAGAAGCTCTCAGAACATCCTCAAGCAAGAGAGACGCTGCTTTTTTCAGCCCCACAACTAGAATTCTGAAAATCCCATTTCTTTAGGGCAGGAGACTGGGCGTCTCACCCAGAACCCTGAGAACAGGAGCCCCACCCCAGCACAGCTGTTCCCCAAGCCAGTGTCCTCTAGTTTCGCAAATGCCCAAGCCAAGCGCGCACGACGCAGCACAGAAGGCAGATGACAGAGTGGTTAGAAGTAGGGGTTTGGGGTCACACAGACCTGGAGTTTCAGGCCCAACTGCCTCATTTGTAAAATGAAGATAGTAACACCCAACTCCTGGAGATGTTGTTAGGATACAACAACGTGAGAAAGCATGGTGCCTGGCACTTATGAGGGTTCTGAAAAAAGGGTTGCTAATGATGATAATGATGTTGCTGCTGTGACTTGCCCCAGCGTTCTCTCCTCCAAACCTTGCCTCGTGCCCACATCACCTCACACACTCACCCTCCCCAGGGGCCTCCCCATCACAGACCTACGCCTGTAGCTCTCCTTGTGGGCAAGCGCCATGACAAAACCAAGCCAAACCAAAGCTTCCTTTCTATCGAGGGTTTCAAGTAAATTTTCAGACACATATATAAACCTCCATTCCCTCAAAAATGAATTTCCTTCCCCAACTGCTTCTACAAACCTGTTCTTAGTTGCCACACCTCATGGCAGGGAGCTCAGTATTTCTGGGCACACCCCCTTATTTGCTGGCCAGCTGCAGTTTTTAATAAGCTGTTCCTTGTGCTCAGTTTCAAGTTGAGCTCTGCTTACCAGAAACATCCACATGTTGGCTTTTGCCCTCCTGGACCACGGAACAAGCCTACCCGCTTCTCCCTGGGACAATTCTTTGAGCACATCTCTGTTAACTCAGGCCTGGGCTGCAGGTTGCTGCCCAGCCTGTCTATTCAACCCCAATCTTCTTGAGGGATGTTGTCCTTCATGCACACATAATTCATGAAATACAATCCGGGTGCTTCCTTCTGGCTGTGAAATGTCCTGATTTTTGTTGTCTTCAGGTAGGTCCCAGCCTCCCCAGAATGATTAGGGACATCCTGGTCAGCTGAGAATCAGACACACTATGGTTTGAATCCTAGCTCCACTTGTCCTAGCTGGGTGACCTTCACAAGTTCCTCAGCCTTCTCTGAACTTCATTTTCCTTATCTGTCAAATGGGAGTAAGGAGCCTTAGCTTGCAGGTAGTTGTGACAATGACATGAAATAATGCAGGTGACAAGCCCAGCATTGTGTACAAGTTCAGTAACTGGCAGCTATTCTTGTTTTTAAGAGGGAAAGATGCAGAATTCCTTGAAGGGGCAGAGCAAGAGAATCAGCTGTCCCCGGAGATACAGGGAGGGGCCTGGGTTCTGAAGTGAACTCATCCCACACCAGGCAGACAGAAAGACGATCTCGTGGCAGACGGCTGGAGCCCACCACTGTGGGCTGCGAGCCATGTGCCAGCCCCGCCTGCCCCAGAGAAGGGGCCTTGGGGTTGACATAGCCAGTGCCAAGCCAGATGGGGCAGCGGCCAACTTTCCAGTCAACCCAGATGTCTGTCTTTCTCGGACAAAAACTCAAAAATGTGGCTTCAATCAAAGTGGTTTTTGAGAGCCGGGTGCTCCCAGTCCCTGGCAGGGCGACTGCAGAAGCCCTGAGCTGAGGGCTTTGATAACTCCCAAGCGGTCAGGAAGACGTGGCTCAGGCCAAGTCCTGGAAGGTCAGCTGCATCTGTCACTCGGAGTGAAGGGAGAACGGGGGACCACAGGCCGGCCTAGATTGACTCCCTGAGCCATCTCCCTGAGAAAGAGGGCACTGAGGAATTTTTCTGGAAGAAAAGGGATTTGTCTGTGCTATCTAACTGAGGCTTCAAGACAGTCCCTTTCCATGCTAGAAATAGCAGCATTCTGCAGGGACCTTCTTCGACAGTCCAGCACGGAGCCTCAGAAGCCAAAAGGTGATTTAGGGGTAACCCCAGCTACTGGCTTTATTACTCTCCTCACCCCCTGATCCTGCTAGACCACCTTGCTGGGGATGACAAAGCCCTTCCTTGAGGGGCACAACCTTATTTTATCAGAGGAGAAACAGAGGCTCAGAGGGGCAAAGCCATGAGGCCTGAGAATGTTCTAGAACCCAGAAGTCCTGCTTGTCTTGCCCATCATTCCCAAACCCACCTAGCAGCTCTCCTTTTCTTCCTCTGACTCTTGCATAGTAGCTAGCTTGTCATGCCTACTTAAAGAAACATCCCCCACCCCGGCCCCAGGCTCAGGTGTGGAGCTAGGTGTCTGGCATCCTGTCAACACAAACAAGTTTCCCCAGCATCTTGTCCCTTCTCTATACAACGCCCAGCTGCACTTGTGTTTTAAATGTTTCCGTTGCCCTGGTCTTTGTTATTTCTTGCTCGGGGTGCTGGAATGCTTGACACTCCAGAGTCTGCACCCTGGTGCCCAGCTTGCTGAGATGTGCTGAACACGGCGGGGGAGGGGTGGTGGGAGGTGCCACCTGGGACGGGGGTGTGGTGGGGGGGCTCAGCCTTGGGTGTGCTGTGCTCCAGGAAATGTTGCTCACTCTCTTGGCTCAGCCACATATGCAATTTCCCTGGCTTGTTAAGCTCTTCCCCATCTCTGAATGGCCTACTCTAATAATTCTTTAGATCTTTTCCTGGATGTCACCTCCTATAAGAAGCTTTCTCTGATCCACCAGTCTGAGCTAGGATCCCCTACCCCACAGTGTATAGATGTGCAGGCTGTGCACTGCACAAAGGCACCACACCTAAGGGAATTATTGGCATCCCAGATTTGTACATTGATAAAGACTGTTTTGAACAAATGGAAGGGGCACCTTTCTCTAATTTGCACAAAGGTGCTACAGGACCTATCAGTGGCCCCAGTTCTGCTGTCTGTATTCCCACAGCATTTGGCACGCGTCTTGTCACTGCACTAGCTCTCTTTTTCGGATGCCCACTACCTGTCTGTGTCCCTCCTCCCCCACTAGACTGTAAGCTTGGAGAGGGGAGGCACTGTTTTTATCTCATTCTCCACTGTCTGTCCAGGGCCTGCACACGAAGGGCACTGTCAATTGTTGCCTCATCAATGTAAATATTTGTTGACTGGATGGAACATGCGATATGAAGCCTCAAGAGTGCGCCTGACCCAGAAGGAGGAAGGAAAACAAGGAAAAAAGAAAAGTGGCAAAAACATCTCCGGCCTGCAGGGGGAGGCACTGAGTAGTTGGGAGCCCTCCTCCTGGAGGGGCAGTAGGTCCATTCCCTTTTCCCTTTTTGGGGGGATATTTTCTAATAATAATAGTAACAGCTACAGTTATCGACCGAACACTAAGCACAGGCATCGTCTCGTGTACTCTCCACAGCAGCCCCACGAGGCAAGGCTAGCACTATTTCTGCCTCCACTTTGCAGATCAGAGACGGAGCAGAGAGGTCAGCGGGCAGAGCTGGGACTGGTACCTGCTGTGTTGGAGGCTCAAGCCTGGGAGCTTCACACTGCCCTTTGCTGCTGCACCAAAAATTCCATCACACTGTGAAACCGTCCACACTTATTTTTAGTTTGGAAAATATGGCCACTGCTCCACAGCCGAGTCTGAAGTGAGGAACAGCTCTGCTCCTCCCACCTTTGGGCTCCAGTCCAGGCCCCCCACAAAGCCGACTTACCGAGTCGACTGCTGACAGGCCAAAGAAATACATGCCAGGCCCGGGCCAGGAGTGAGGCCTGGAGCGGGGAATCAGGCTGAGCCGGCAGAAGCCAAACTCAGGCACGGGCAGCATGTCACCACCTCCTGGCTGTAAGATCAATGCTTACAAGAGCGGCGTTTTGCTCCTTCCTGAATTCTCAGTGCTTGGCGCACACAAGGCACCTGATGAGTATTTGCTGAGTGAATGAGTGAATGAATGAATGAATGACTACATGTTGGGTTTTCCCACCATCCCAAAGAGGGAGGGAACTGGGTTCCCCAGTAAGGCTGACGACGTTCTGGGACAGCCCTGATTCAAAGACTGAGAGGCAGGAAACAGGAAGTGAGAAGGACATCTGGGGGGCCCTTCAGGGGGAGAATGAGGGAAACACTAAGTCACCCAATCAAGACCTCTGGGCCCCTGGTACCTGGGCAGGGGGGATGTGGAAGGAGGCTGAGGGGTAGAAGAGGGCCCAGCATGGGATGGGACCCCTAAAATCTGAGCAAGAACAACTGGCAAGAGGAAGGAACCTCTCCCCGGCAACCAGAAGGAGCAGGTAGGCCAGGCTGCATCCGGCAGAGGGGCTGAGCTCTCTGAACCACCAGGAGCCTCGGCCTCCAGCCAGGAGCACCCTCAAGGCAGATCGGGAAAGCCTACCTGGTTTACAGCCTGTTCTACCTGTCTGGCCTCCGAGACCCTGATGGGAGATGGAGGGGGGTGCCCCCCAGCAGAGGCCAGGCCCTGGGAGAACTTCCCCTCCAACCCTGGACCCTGGCACCCAGCACTCACCTGGTCTGCGTGGGCACGGGGTACATGATGTCACCCCCCAGAAGGCTCCCACACTACCACAGCAGTCCTCCTGGGCAGTCAGCTCCAGCAGGGGGTTGGCACACTGGAAAAGAGGCCGTGGACACTCATCACCGCCTCCGCCTTCCCATGCTATACACAAGGATGTCCCAGGAAAGCCTGAGACAAGAGCTCACCCCCCACACCTTACCAGAGGACACCCCTACCCAGGGAGGGAAGGAGAGACTCAGCCGTCCCAGAAGGAAGCAGAGAAACCTGTGGGCCACTCCACCAGACCCGAAACTTGGGGAGTGGGGACATATCCCAGGCAAGACAAGATCTCTGTGCAGGTCTGCCCCTACTGCCCCCTACCATGTCCCCAGCCCACAGACAGAGGGTCCCAAAGCATGAGCTTTCCTTTGTCAAACTCCAGGGTGACCCATGGTGCAGGCCTTCTCCAGGGGCAGGGTCCAGGCTCAGGGACACCACAAGACACCCCAAGAGGCCAGGGAGGATCCGGGGACTCAGAGTCCCTATCCCTTGGCTCCCCTCCTCCCACCGCCTCCAGTTCCCTAACCTCAGGAGGGATTTCTGGAAACACCAAACTGCAATCCTGAGAAAAACCTTCCTGGGTCTGGCTTAGCCCCCTGGCTTAGCCTCTAGTCTTAGGTGCCTGGACTCAGAAGAGCTCATCTGATTTCCCATCACCAGCTGTGGATGCCTCCAGAAGGGATGGGGTGCTCTCATCTTTGCACCCCCAAGGCTTTGGGATTTAACCTGCATTTGCTAATTCCACATCTCTGTGACCCCAGTCTCAACTGAATACTGAAGTCCTTCTCACCAGATCTAACAGTCCCACTGTCCCTGTACTGGGGGTCCTGGACTCAGCTCCAGGAGAGCTCAGGATTTACTGGGACCTGAGGATATTGGTGCCCCTCCAGAGGGGCACTCTTTTGGGTCCCCTTCAGCGTGCCTGGCACTGACAGGTACCCAGTGGAGCCCAGGTAGAGGCCCAGCCTCTCCCCACTCAGGCACTTGTATGCCCTGAGACTCGGCAGACACATTCCGTAAGAACAAGGAGGAGAGAGAGAAGAAGGGGCAGAGTGGGGAACAACTGCTATTCTGGAAGCCCCCAGGGCTGAGGCAGGAGCTACGTTCTCACCTGGCCATTCACAGCACTCAGGTAACACCGGCCCAGCAGCCCCTGAGGCCTGGGCACCGCTGGAGGCAGTGGCCGAGGGGCCTCTCCAGACCGAGCAGGGATACTGTTGCTGTCCCAGTGGCTGTGGCCAGGGCTGGCGGGGAGCCGGGATGAGGGTCTGGTCTCCACGCTGTTCTCCTCCGGGGCCTCCTCGGCCTCGCCCCGCACCCGTGCCACCTGGTGGACCTGCACGGAAGCCTCGGGCGGGTGGCGAATGTGCACCTTCACCAAGGAGGGGTTCACGGAGGCTGGGCACAGGGGCTGGGGTCAGAGTCGGGGAAACAGGGCCCCACCCTCTGAAGAGTGCCCCCCAGCCCTGGGCCAGGAGGCCACTAGCTGTGTATCTCCCCCAAACTCTCCTTCCATTTCTTCACTCTGTACTCTAACCCAGAACAATATCCCAATGAGGACAGAACAAAGCTCAAACTCCTTCACTCCCCACCTGTCAATGAGGGATCTGCATTATTAACTTCCACACTACATTCCTGATTCCACCTCCTGCCACGATCCTATACCACCCCTGAGCTCCAGCCCAGTGGACCCTGCAACCCTGCACGGTCCCACCTCCACGCCTTTGCTCAGCCAGTCCCTCTGGAGAGGAGCCCTTCCCACTGCCCTCTGTTTAACCAAAGTCTACCCATTGCTTAAGGCCTAACTGAAGTCCTCCTCCCCAAGGCAGCCTTCCCTGAGCACCCTGGGCACAGAGCTCTCCACCCCCTGACCTCCTGTAGAATTCTGTTTTTCTGTACCCTTTATTTGGCACCTAATAATGGAAGGCAAGGGAAATGAAATGTTTTATGATGATATTCTCTTTGCTGTCCATCGTCCCTCTATTGTCCAGAATCGTGGATTCCTTGAGTGCAGGACTCTGCCCTCATCCTCTGTTGTCTCACCCATAGCACCCCGTCGGGGGTAAGGGCAAAAAAATATTGATGAATTCAGAAGAAAGGGCAAAGAGAAGTTTATGGAATGAAACTGAGCCCTGAGGGCGGAGGAGAATGAGGGAGGTCTGACTGTGAAGGAAGCACTAGAGCCAACTTCCCATCCTCCCCACCATGGTGCCAGTGCCCACCGTACCCCGGCACCCAGGGTGCCCCCCAGCCCGCCCTGCCCCCACCCTGCACTCACCCAGCTGGTTGGAGAGAGGCAAGGTGAAGGTGGACTGCCTCAAGGGGCCCCCCAGCGGGGCCCTGTGGCGGGAGCCCCTCTCTGAAGGCTCCCTGTCCAGCTTTGGGGCGGGCAGGTGGCAGAACTTCCCGGTGGAGTTGGTGGGGCACCAGCACTCGTCCCTGCCGATGCAGCGGCCTCCGTTCAGGCAGGGGATCTGGCAGAAATCTATGACAGCAATCTCAAGGTGACCGGTGGTAGAAGAACATAGCAGTACCCACCATGTGGCTAGTGGGTGATGACAGAGGAGCAGGGGGAGCAGGACCCCAAATCTGGAGGCTTGGGGAGCCCAGCACGCCCTGAAAGGCAGGACTCTCCAGGAGGCCCGGGAGAAAGAAGGGTAGATAATGACCAGCTTTGCCTTTCTAAAAAGGCCTTCCACGCCTTTCCTCGACCCCACAATAACCTGGGGACGGGAGGGCAGAGGCGCTATTAACTCCCTCATATCTCTGTGGAGGAAACTTGGACTCAGAGAGGTTATGTGACTTGCCCAGAGTCACACAGCTAGGCCATGAAATAGCTGGATGAGGACTCAGCTTTCCGGGGACTGGGGACAACTTACAGAAGCCGCAGTGTGAGAGTAGTGGGCTTCCTTCCTGCAGAAGAGCTGCGCTCCTGCCCAAGGCAGGCCTGTCCCTCCAGCCACTACCCCCGCCCCACCCTGGCCCACCCCAGGGGCAGCCAGGAACCATCTGAGGGAGGAAGGGACTCACAGATGCGGAAGCCAGACTTAGGGTCATGCCCATGGCCGCCCTGGCTATACAGGGTGGTGGTGTCACCACGCTCACAGCTGTTGGCACAGTGCCCCCGGGCACAGGTCTGCTTGCAGATGGTGGGAGTGAAGACAATCTTGATCTTCTTGATTTTCTCCGTGAGGTTCAGCCCTGCAGAGAGAGGGCTTGGGTCCAGGGGGCAGGGCTGAGAGGCACAGCCGTGACCTCCAGAGGCTGGTTAGAAAGGCCCATGGGAACAGGGGGAATCCACACCCAGGGCATTTGCTAAGTACCTACTGGATGCCAGGTCCCATGGTGGGGACAGGGTCATATCTTTGAGAAACTCACAGTCCAACATTTATTGAGCGATGCTAGCGTGCCGGCCACTAAGCTCATGCTTTACGCACATGAACTCTCAACCCTCTGAGTGAGCATTATTTTAGGTTGAACCATTAGAAATTGCCACTTTTGTAGGTTGAAATGGTTGAATATTGGCAATATTCCTATATCTAACATAATATTCCCATTTTACAGTTAAGGAAACGAGGCCCAGAGAAGGTTGCCTTGCCCCAAGTCACACAGCTAGCAAGTCTGCAGCGGGGCTTCGAACACAAGGGCAGAGAACTGAATGGAGCTCAGACTTGCGAGAGTGAAGTTTTCTTTTTTTTTTTTTTTTTAAGATTTTATTTATTTTATTTTTTCCCCCAAAGCCCCAGTGGATAGTTGTGTGTCGTAGCTGCACATCCTTCTAGTTGCTGCATGTGGGACTCGGCCTCAGGATGAACGGAGAAGTGGTGCCTCGATGCGCACCCGGGATCCAAACCCAGGCCGCCAGCATCGCAGCGCGCGCACTTAACCACCAAGCCACAGGGCCGGCCCGAGAGTGAAGTTTTCTAAGTTTTCTAAGAGAAGTGGAGGAAGATAAAGCCTGAAAGAATGACAAGAGGCAGGTTTGGGGGCCCCGATTGCCAGAACAAGGATTCGGCACTTCATTTGGTTGGTAGCGGGAAGTCATTGCAAGTTTTCGGTAAGAGATCAAAGAGGAAGTTTGGGGGCCTGATGCCCTCCCAGCTGGGGGTGCAGGTGGATGCGGGGGCAGTGCAACAGTGCGAGCTAAGGTCACTTCACTTAACACGGGCGGTGATGGTGGAAATATAAAGAGGGGGTACATTCAGTGTGGGGAGCCCGGGGAGCAAAGCCAGAAGGCAGAGGGCTTGAGGAGGGAAGTATAAAGAGTCTATGCAGATCACGCATTCAAGAAGCTAAACTGTGAAGCGGGGAGAGATGGAGAGGAAGCCAGAGGGAAGTGGAGAAATAACTCGGGGTGTGTGTGTGTGTGTGTGTGTGTGTGTGAGAGAGAGAGAGAGAGACTGTGCGTGAGAATTGGAGAGCTGTAAGCAAGTGTCTATGCTGACAGGAAGGGGCTGAGAGAGGGGACAGGTTGAAGGGCGAAAAGAGACGGGGCAGGGAGAGGACAAGCCATGGCCGAGCGATCCACAGAAACAAGAAGTGGGGTGTGCCTTAGACAAGAAGAGGGACACCTCCTTTTCAAGATGACAAGAAAGGTCATCAACTATAAAAAGGAACGAAGTACTGATGTGTGCTACAACATGGATAAACCTCAAAAACATTATATTAAGTTGTATCAGACACAAAAGGCCACATATTGCCTGATTCCGTTTACATGACATGTCCAGGATATGCAAATCTATAGAGACAGAAAGATTAGTGGGGCCGGAGGCTTGGGGGAGAGGGGAATAGCGAGTGACTGCTTAATGGGTATGAGGTTTCTTTTTGGAGTGATGAAATGTTCTGGAATTAGATAGTGGTGATGGTTGCATAAAATTGTGAATATACTAAAAACCACTGAATGTATACTTTAAAATGGTGAGTTTTATATTATGTGAATTTCACTTCAATTTTAAACAGAAAAAGAGAAAGGAGGTCAGCTCAGGCATGGGTTAGGTGAGGGAGCCGCGTGCATGGTGGGACAGACGGGCAGCAAGGTGAGGGGCTCCCCAGGAGGTGGCAGGCATGTCCATGTGCTGATGGGAAAGTGGGGGCAGCTAGAGTAGCTGCTCTGAAGAATGAGAGAGCAAGCATCCAGGAGTGCAGGGAAGGATTGTTGGGCAGTGACCAGAATGTGCAGAGGCGTGAATCCAAGGGATGCTCGGTTCTCTCCTTTAGGAAGCAGAGGCCCAGTTGTAGCTGCTAAGGAAGCAACTGCTGGGGTTGGTCCACAAGGGTTGGGGTTTGCAGGAAGGATGAAGCGGAAGGACCAGGGCCAGGAAGGTGACGTTCATGGCTGCAAGGGAAGGAAGCAAAAGCAGGATGGATGACAGATGGGGCAGAAAGGGAGCAATTCAGGTCTAAGGGTCTCAAGGGGGCTGACAGCTGCTTTGGGACCCTTGGAGCTTGGCACAAAGCAGGCACTCGACAACTGTTGATGGCTGAAAGGATGAGGGACAAGGTGACAACTTGGCCCCTCTGTGAAAGTGGAGGGAGAAGCAAAGGTGGGGAGAAGAAGGTCAGAGATTTAGATGTCCTGCTCTTCCAAGACCCTGAGACAGGTTGTCCTTACCCCAGAGGGATGACTGGTGGTCCTGATAGGCTGCCTGCTGGGCACCATCCCTCCTCTCAAGGCCTAGCCCCGCGGGCAGGGCGTTGGAAGTCAGCTGGGCACTAGCCGCAGTGGCCGGGTAAAGTCGGACGGTCCGGGACAGCCCCACGTGCTGCTGGGAGGGCTGGGTCTGGCTAAGCCCACTCAGGGTCCTGTGGAGACAACCGTGACATGGGGGTTTGCATCCCGGGAGCAGCGTCTCTGTGCCCTCTCTGTTCAAGGTACTCCCCCACCGCCTTTGCACTGGAAGAGTGCTCTCTGCCTTCTTGCCAACTCCTGGGAAATGGAGGTGTCCTGAGGCAGGGGGACTGAGCTAAGGCCAGCTAACCAGTTCAGTGGGAGTGCCTACCTCTATGTGGAATTGCCAGGGCCTCAGGGCCCTCGACTGCAAAATGAAGGTGTTGGACTGGTCCCATGTAGCTCTGACATTCTAAGGGTCTTTGAGACTCTTATGGACCAGTCCCTGCCCCCAGACCAAGCCCTGTGCCTACTCCCTGCCACTTCTTAACACACCTATTCACACAAATTACCTGCGGAATAGATGCCCAATAAATACACGTTCACAGATTGATTTACGGGTGGAGCCTAGAATATCCCTTTCACTTATTTTATTGGAAAAATAATATAACAACAATATTCAAGGAGAAAAAAATGAATTCATCATCTCCCCCAACACCGCAAATATTTTTGCACATTTAACATTTGCTCAAGTGTATGTTCTTACACTATTATCATCACTGGTAGATACAATTTAAAATCTGATTTTTTACTTAATATTGGATCATACTTTATACAATTCTATAATTTTCATATTTATCACCTTAATTGCTACATGACAGTCTATCTGAAGATGAATCACAATTTATTCAGACATTCTCCTGTTACGTATTTAGATTGTTTTTAACTGTGGACATCCTTACTCATTCAGCTTGTTTTCTTCTGTAAAAATATTCCTTTAGTATAGGGGGATGCATCATACTATTCTATTTTATTCTGTATATTTGAAAAATTCTTATAATAAACATTTTGAAAAGGATTATTATTTTAGGATTAATTCTGCGGACTAGAATGATGGTATCAAAGGTTACAAACATTTACAGCTCTAAGCACACACTGGTGTATTGCTTTCTAAAAGGGTTGCATACAAATGTAAAAATGCATCACTTAGAGCACAACTTCCCCAGCATAGCACATTATTAATTTTTTTATACTTTGCTAATTAAATAAGCATAAAATGATACTTCAATGTTGCTTTTATCTCCCATTATTATGACTTCTGAGGTTGAAATTTTTTTCATAGTTTATTTACCACTTATGAAAATTTTCTGCTCCTGTCCTTTGATATCTTAACTATTTGAGTTGTCTCATAAATTTGACCACGTTCTTTATGTGTTTATTATCAGGCAGGCCGTTCTACCAGGCAGTAAATACTCTGTCACTGTCACAACGTATATGAACCACTGTACACATGACAGTGTCATGTGGTGGGCATGAACACACTGTAGACATTGAAGCTGAGAGAGTGATTACTTGCCCAAGGTTATACAACAGGTAAATCAGGGCCCTGGGATTCCAACCCAGGGCTGCCTGAGCCTCTGCCACCCAACAAACCAGCCCAGACTAGGATGGAAGCTCAGCCTAGAGCCTCTGCTCCGGCTCCTCCCCCCAGGTGGTCCCACCCCTAGCTTCTCCACTGGATTTCTTGCCCAAGTGGGATAAGGTCCTGGGACCCTCTCCCTCTACCGTCCCTACTCCAGTTCTGTTGGCCCTGGGTGCCCAGGCCGTGAGCAAGCTCCCTCTTATCCTTTGCTGGCAGAAGTCAAACCAGGAGAGATGTCAGAGCTCAGCTCCCTCCAGCCCTGTTAGCTCAGGACTTGGCTCCCAAGAGCTTCAATGCTGCTCTTCCTTCTGGCACTAGCAGCAGCAAATCCTCACCCTAACAGGCCCCAACCACGCCTCACCCTGCTTCCCAAGTTTAGGGGCTGGAGTTGGAGAGAGGCCCTGTCAGCCACCCCAGAAGCTCTGGGAGCCGTAATGGACCAGCATTGGGAACCCAAACCTCAAGCATCTGTTCCTCATTCCCAGGAGAAGGTCAGCATAGCCAGCTGCAGCAGAAAACACAATCCTTTCAACGGCTTCCAAGAGTGTGCCCAAGAGAGCGGGGTGAGCTGGTGGGTCGGTGGGAGTCTCCTCCTGGTGGTACCAGACTGGTGCCATAGGTCAGCTTAGTGCCAGCCCCACAAAGCACCAGAGGTGAAGGGAGTCGCTCATGTTCTGCCCAGACCACCTGGTACTTTTTTGAACTTGACCCTGACAAAGAGCTCTCCAATCTGGTCAAGATGGAAACTCAAAGAGTTCTTTGTTGGTGGTTTGTTATCATTGTTGTTATTGTTGCTGTCACTTGTTTTTCTAATTGGAACTCAATGCTAATTGCCCAAGATTCCTGAGTTCAAATCCCTTAAGGGCCAGTGGTTAACTTTGCAGAGAAGAAAAAAAAAACAAAAGCAGAATCCCAAGTACCCACTAGTTGTAGATAGGGCCTGGCTGTACAGAGGAGAGAGGACAGGATTTGGGCCAGGCAGATGTCAGTTCTGCCTCTTACTAGCAGAATGGTCTTGAGCAAGTCACTTAGCTCCCCTGAGCTTCAGATTCCGCATCAGTAAAATGGGACTAGCAACACCCACCTCAGTGGGCTGTTGTGAGGACTGAGAGGAACAGAGGCCATGTGATTACTTTGCAAATGTAAGTAAATGATCACAGATTGAAAACTATGCCAGACTTTCAAAATCTCACAAACAAAGAAAAAACAGTGCTAGATACAGTTCAGACAAAATACTTCTCCTCAAGCCACTAAAAACTCTTCTTCCTCTAAGGGAAATAAAAGACTCCCCCCAAAAATCTAGTTATACTTCCAAGCATCCTTACATATAAAGGGCCAGTGCCTAATCTGGCATCAACACATTTCTAACAGCTAGAGTCTTCTGAGCCCCATCCATTGTCATCTATTGCTGTGATGGGGATTTTGGGTTAAATGACAGATATAAAAAAGTCCTGCCTTCTGAGACGCTCACAGCAGAGTAAAGGATGAAGCCTCCAGTTTTTGATAGGTCCTATCTCTTATGATGAAAGCATCCCTTTAAGGAGACAGCTATCTCCCTTCATAAACCCCAGCCCAGTCTTTGGAGGTAGGCAGAGAGGAAGGCCTTCCATGTGTGGAGGGCTGCAGGCTCTCAGCTCAGCTCTGGCCCCTAGAGAGTTGTGCTAACAGAGGCAAGCAAGAGCTTCACTGAGAAGGGGACTTGGGCTACAGCCCCCCGGGAAGAGGCTCCATCCACTCTCAGCCTTGGAAGAGCTGCTATGATTTCATCAAATGACAGGGGTTCTCAGACTCATCTGGCACAAGAAGAGAACTTGCTATCTCTTGGGATTGTTCCAGGGAAGTCCTGGCAAAGCTACCACGATGGACCAGAACAGCCATCTCTAGACTTCAGGATTTCATGGATCAGTAAAATTTTGAAACAAATTTAAGGGAACAGCATAAAGTCGCCAACTTTTTATTTAGCTAAGACATTAAAACACACACAGCTACCAATTATTGCCACCATAATTTCATGAAAGGAAAGGCATTTCAGTGCCCAAAAGAAGCATTCGAATAAGCTTAACTTTATGGAATCTCACCACATTGACTTTATTTTCTTCATTTCTTCATAGACCATAAAAACTCCATCACAGACCAGTGTGGAGCCAAGGAGGAGTCACTGGGCCACATGATCCACCAAAGTCTGCTCCTCTGCCAGGAGGACTCCTTGGCTCTTTCAACCAATATGGGAAGAAAAACTTCCCATCCCAGCTGGCTGGGATCTTCAGACCCAAGGGAAAACTGCCTAGACAGTGCATACCCATAATGATGCCACTCAGTTAAGTGTGGTGAGCCCACATCCTGCCCAACACACTAAGGTTTTCAAACAGTGAGGGGGAGACAAGTGGGTGAAGGGTTCCATGCCCTCCACTCCATCTATTTGCACCCTAGCCTGGTGGCTTCACTCTAACTTATAAATTGGGCTTCCAAATACAATTTTGTTTGAAAAGGGTTCTGCTGCTAAAAGAAAGTTTAAAAACATCACTACAAGGTACATAGAGTAGTTATAGCTGCCACTTACTGAGCATGGAGCCAGGTGCTTTAAATGCATCATCTTATTCACATTATTCTATTAAATGAAAAAGTAAGTTGCAGAATAATATGAATAGTATGCTTCCAGTTTTGCATTTTCAGAAAAACTTCTCTCTCTCTCTCCTCCTATAGATATTTATACAGCATAGGAAAAGTTTGGAAGGATCTGTAAACAGTAGCTCCCCTTGGGAATGAGAGTGTCTGTATATGTGTAACTACCATGTTGAACTTTATGTGTTTCTATATTTTTGGAATATTTTCAGGAAAAATTTTTACAGTATATATGCATCATTTTGTAACAAAAATAAATCTCTATTCTTCCCAGCTACTCCACTTTATAGATAAGGAAACTGAGGCTCAGGAAAAGCATGGTAAACGTGTGCAAATAAATAAGATCCAAGGTGGACTATGACGGCTAACAGAGTTCAGATGTAAGAAAGACCATGACATTTGAGGCAGAGCTTAAGAGATGGGTAGAATTTTCACAGTCCAAAATGAGGAGGAAGACATTCCAGATAAGAAAAATAACATAAGAAAATGCATGGAGGTGGGAAGCATGGGCCACATTTCAGGAAGAATAATGAGTACAGTTGATTATAGCACAGAATCGAGGGGAGCGGAGGGAAGGGAAATAATGTCCATTCAGTGCCTACCAGGCAGTGGGCACCATATTAGGTGTTTTACATAATATATCATTTACTTGTGCAAACAACCCTACAATCAAATACCTCTGCTTGGCCCAAACCACCTTAAACAAAGTAAAAAGGCAAATGACAAAATGTGAAAAATATGTGCAACTCATATCACAGACAAAGGAGCAATCTTCATAATATATCAAGAGCTCTTAGAAATGGAAAAGACAGACCAACGGCTCTAAAAGAAAAATTAGCAAAGGAATACGAACAGTTCACAGGAAAAAAATGCAAATGTTTCTTAAACACATGAAAATATGCTCAACCCTTCCCATCTTAAGAGATGTGC